AAAAAAAGTAGGCCTATCCTGCACGAAGCACCGGCCATTCACTTCAGAAGTCGGTAAATGATGCTAATATTAAGATCATTATTTGATCAATTCCTTTTACTTGATTACTTTCTCTCGAGTGCTTTTGAAATAGATTTTACAAAGATCTGGAATGTAAATCCTGTATTTTTTGCAACACAATTTTCAAGAATATATAAGAACAAAGAAATAATAATAAAAACAATAAACAGACAAAATACAATCGCTGATACAAGCAGACAAAAAAAAAAGAAAAAAAGAAAAAAGAAAAAAAGAAAATACAACACATATCAGCATATTATTGCAAGTAGAAAAACCGCATAAAATAACGGCATCAGTTACTACGCATTTTACAGTGATTTCAACACCGTGACCTTCTACGCAACAAAACACTATCAATTTCGCAAGCAGAGGAAATCCAGGTCAGGTCACGCTAAAGGTTAGGTTAAAATCAGGCAATAGAATTTGTGTCTAATTCGGATCAAAAAGCAAAGACTTATAGCGTATGATTTTTTTCTAAGTAAAGTTTCGATGTTGTTTCTGCAAATGGTATAAAAAAAAAACTTTTGTATGGCATGACGAAGTTACTCTGTCAAAAAAAAAAAGAAGTTTGTTGCTTCAACGGGGTCACAATATCGTTCTCGCCTCAGACGCTGCTGTAAGTAAATCCCCTTTATTTCTAAGATCGTGTTTTCTAGGACTTTTTCATTACATCTACACAAAAAGACTTACGAAGTTGGGCGACAGAGCACCAAGATGGATCCACAGCCACACCTATATTCTCTAATATTCAGGAACACACTTTGGAGCACTGGAAGTTGACGTGAAATTGGTGAATACACAGATAACTTTAATACATATCGTTTATCGAAGCTTAAGTCACATCTTATAACCCGAAACAAAAGCAAAATCATTCACCAGAGAAATAGTATCCGAAACTTATTCGCACCAATATCCACACCTCAGACCAACACCAACAACACCATCACCTGAAGAAATGCCACAGATGGTGTCATTTCTTGGAAATGCGGATATCTGTCATGGATGTCTGTAAACGTGACCTCATCCCTAGAAGGAGCGATGGGCTGAGGATGCGGACACGGGCCCCGGGCTAGAGTGAAAGTGTTGGCGGTGCGAACAAGGCTCACCTGCTCTGAACACGTGGCCGCCAACACACCGCAGCTCGGAGTTCGGTTCAGATTTGAACTCCTGGTCTTCAAACTCGTGAAAAAATAGCTTTGAAACGCTCGAAAAATACCGTTAAAACTGTTGATGGAATATCTTAGACACTCGAAGAAAACCGTTAAAATTATTGATATGTTTAAAACTTGGAGGAAAACCGTTAAAACTATTGATAGAAAATCTAAAGAATTGCGCGAAGAAAACAGTTAAAATTGTTGATGGAATATCTTTAAAGCGCTTGAAGAATATCCTTTAAATTATTAACGGAATATTAAAAAAAAACCACGGAGAAATATCTTAAAAAAACCACGGAATATTATATATATATATATATATATATATATATATATATATATATATATATATGTATATGTATATATATATATATATATATATATATATATATATATTATATATATATATATATACTTTCGAAGGAATATCTTTTCACACTCTCAAAAGACATAGATATCTTTATGTCACGACATCAGCTGTTCGATACAAAGATAAATAATATATATATATATATATATATATATATATATATATATATATATATATATATATTATATATATATATAACTTTCGAAGGAATATCTTTTCACACTCTCAAAAGACATAGATATCTTTATGTCACGACAGCAGCTGTTCGATACGAAGATATATATGTATATACACGTAGAGAAGAAGAAAGATTTGTGGATATACTTTTATTCTTCTGTTTTCTTCGAAGGTGTGGTCAAGACCGAGGAAAGGTGTCGGGAAAATGGAATTTGTAAATGGCTTTTTAAAATTTTTTTATATTATTTCTTTTATAGTCTAACGGTCGGTTTTGTTATTATGAGAGTTGGCGGTGAACTAGAGTAAAAACATGAACGCATGGCACTTCACTTTAATGTTGCAAAAAACAATTTAATGTGTAAGGCACACCAGCTTTAATTCTTATAAGTAAAAGTAATAAAAGAAACAAAGGTACGTGAATCACAACACACACACATATATGTATGTAGATATGCATATATATAATATATATGTACACACATATATAAACACACACACACACACACACACCACACACACACACACACACACACACCACACACAACATATATATATTATATATATATTATATTATATATATATACCTTACATATTTGTTTGGTGTGTGCACATATATGTATATACACACACACACAAAACACATATATATATATATATTATATATAGAAATATATATATAGATAGATAGATATATGTATATATTCAGATAAATGTATGTATGTACACATTACATATACTAAATAAAAAAACACATTTAGAGGGAAATAAGAAGGGAAGAGGGAGAAGGAAAGAGAGAAAAAAAATAATGAAAAGACAAAGCCCTGTGGACAGTCATAATAAGGCATTTACGCAGAAGTAAATGCGTATCTATCTGATAGATCCACATTTATCCATTATCTGTCTGGTAGCTATCGCTGTGTCTCGACATGGATATGCATTCAGATTCTGTGTATAAGCAAGTCCTTTTAATGATCTTTCGTTGGGCAAAATCTGAACAAACCGGACGAAGGAGATGAGGGAAAGAGCTTCTGTTCCCTCAGGTCCCCCGGGGCGGCCAGAGAGCGGGCTAGTGTTCCCGAGCGCCCCCAGGGAAGAGCCGCTGTGTCACCCCCCTCCCCCCAACCCCCTCAAGGGAGTTTCCTCTGGCACCTCTCTGCTTGGGGAAAGTTCCTCGCGACGCCTCAGACGCTGGACGAGAGGAGGTGGCCATCACCAACGTATCCACTCATCTCTCTCTCTGTGTGGTGTAAGTGTTGTGTGTGTGTGTCTCTCTTCTCTGCGTGATACCTTTTGCTCAACACACTTCCCTCGACACGTCTCCTCC